TGCACAGAGTCACCTAGATCTAAAATAAAGCCTCACAACATTTCACGAAAATTAGGGAACTTTCAACATACAATACTCAGAAAATAGCATAACTACCATTAAAAAGTAACTTATTAAAGCAGTCACCTGCTATAGTTTACAAGTGTGATACTACAAAACAGTACTGTTGTTTTAACAGAAGAAATAAAGAGGACCATTTTGTAAATCAAGACAAATGTGCCAACATTTAGATTCCAGCACAATTTCTCATAAATTTACCAGCATTTACAAATGGGTCCCTGGGTCTCAGTAGAATTATCAAAATTCCTAGACTTGTAAAACGACCCTATGGTCCTTACACTGAAAGTCAGGAACTAATTTTACCGTGATTATTGTTGTTATGAAGTCAAGTAGAATCCTGTATCCTTGTATGGGAACCCAAACATATTAACAGAAATGGTAAATCTTAGTTGCTGGAAGTAAGAATTATTTTTCCTATTAATAATCAGAAATAACTCAGTATGCGTCAAGACATTCCAAATCAATAGTTAAATTATACAAGTGCAGACATGATGAGATGAAAACAGACACAGTCAAAAATACGTGAGGTATGTAGCCATTCCACATTCTGTCAGTAGTGGTGAAGAAGGAGATACCAAACAGAGCTTCATATACTGAGTATTTACAGAAATGGAACATTTCTGAACAAGAAGTAAAGTTATGTTAAAATATAAAATTGGATCCCTTTCTTGTGCCATATAAACAAAACTGAAATTCATACTGATTAAAGAGTTTCATGGGAAACAAAATTTGTAAATGCTTAGTGCAAAATACCTTACATCTTTCAAATCTTCAGGCAGGGAAACACTGTCTTAAATAGGACACAGAATGAATCAACTACAAAAGCAGAAGTTTGAGAAACCTAATAAGAATGATCCATCCATCAAAAAACTCGTGGGAGTACCAGAGATGGAATTGAGTGGCCCTGTGCCTGCCTGGCAAGTACTGAGTTCCATCCCCCATACTGCAAAACAAAAAACGAAACACAAAACCTCCTTAAAGTCAAAAGACAAACTAAAAGCTTGGAGAAATTATTTATAATTCATATAAGTGGCAAAGATGAGCATAAAAAAATAAAGATTAGCATCAAAATTGGAAAATGCTTACAAATAAACCATAACAACACACACAATACGGACAAAAAGAGAAAAACAGATCTTACATACAGGAAATGTGTGGCTGACACACATATGAAGGGGAGTTCAGTGTCATTACAATCAACAAAGCACAAGCACAACTAGATACTTTTTTTGCACCTATGTAGTTGGCTAACATTAAAAATTCTGACATTACCAAATGTTGAAGATGATTTGAATCTACAACATAATTTATACCTTACACTTAGGAGTACATATTAGTGCAACAACTCCTTTGGAAAACAGTCTGGCAAGCTGCCCTGTAATTGATCAATCACATAGGTCCCTCCCAGTCTACCTTATGTTCCCTTCTAGGTCTATACCAAAAGCATCCTCTAGCACAAGAAAAAAACATCTCTAGCACAAACACTCCAGAAGACACAGAAGAATGCATATCAGTGCCTGCCCACGGCAGAAGAGATGATGCGTGCATGATACCATTTTTTAAAAAGTGAAAACCTTAAAATAAATATAAGTGCTTCTAGTAAAAATATGCAAATAATAAAACCATAAAAAGAAAAACAAAGGGTTGATCAAATTCCAAGTGATCATTCCTTCCAGGTAGACTATGTTAGAGGGGGATGGTCTCATGAAGAAGGTACAACCCCTACTCTGGTGTGGTTAACTGGTACTTAGTGACTATAAAACAGGTTATGCATGGAGAAGATGAAAGTTTTCTGAACTAAAATAGCTTTCATGTATTTGCAATTCACCAAACCTACTCCTTGTTCACAAACCAAGAATTAATATCATTCTAATTCCAAGTATATGAGATTATATTTTTAGCAGAGAAATTTTGTTTGAAAACAGTCCTGACTAAAATATCAAACCAGTGCAAAGAATGAAAACCTCCAATTAATAGCTCTAAATGAGACTGCAGTTTGAATATCCTTTACCCACATGCTTGGGATTAAAAGTACTTTAGATGATATTGTCATTCAGATATCTTGGAATATTTGCATAGACATTATTGGCTGGGCACCCTAATTCCAAAAATTCAAAATCTAAACTGCACTGACATGACACTCAAAAAGTTTCAGATTTGGGAATTTCCAATTTGGTATATTTTAATTAGCAATGGTCAACCTATATCAACAGAAGAGTCTTTATTTGTTCTAGCATTACTTATATAAGTGAGAAATTGCAAACATCTTAAAGACCAAGCAAGAGAGGAATGGTTTAAAACATCAGCCTACATTTATAGGCTTCCAGTAATTTGTCTTATCCACACACTGACTGAGCATTCACAGCTTGTCAGACACTGAGGGATTCAGTGATGAACAATAGTGCTGCTGGCTCTGCTCCTGTGGGGCTTAACTCTGGTAGAAAAGACTGACAGTAATGAAAGAACCACACATGTAAATGTGTCCAGAAATCAGATAAGAGCTGTGCAGGAAAAGAAGACAGGGTTATAAAAGAGAGAAACAGAGGGAGGTTTATCTTTAAGGTTTATATTTAGCCCAGACTTCCTGAGAAACAGAGGTATTTAACAAAGGTCTGACACAGATCTGTCAGTTAATTAACCAGGTGCACAGAAGTGAGGGTGGGCTCTGTGACAGAAGAGAGCTCAGGCTATTGGGAGGTGCAACAGCTTGTGTCTTGATGCAGCCCCAAAGCCTCATGTGGTCATAGGTGGGGCTTTTTCAGAGGTGGCTGGGTCTACAGTGTGTGATGGTGGGTTTGATTCATGGTGCAACACTAGGCTCAAGGGCACTAGGATTAAGGGTGTGAGTGCTACCTGCCCTAAGTAGTCTGGATAAGATATAAGGGAAAAAAAGACCTGTGATCATCCCTTGCTTGCTTTTCTACCCTCTCCCCACCATGAACTGTTTCTCCTCTGTGATGTCTGTCTGCCATGCCACCCTGACTTGGAGCTAGCCAATGATGGACTGAAACCCCTACAAACTGAGCTAAATAAACCTTTCCTCCTTTAACTTATGTGTTGGGTATTTTGTCTCAGCAATGAGAAAAGTAACTAAAGTGGGAGGTAAAGATCAGGGTATATGGAACTCAGAGCAAGAAAGACACTGAGATGAGATGGAGCATCCAAGACAGGTATCTCAGAGAATAGAGCCATATATTTTGGTCTTCTTACAAAGGGGAATGAGAAGAAGGAGTTTAAGGAAGAAAGCAAGTATATCAGATTTTATTGGGAAAGGACCAACTTCAGGCATGTAGAGAACACAGAGAACAAGGGCACACAAGTAGGAACCATGATCCCTCCGGTTTCAGCATGAGCAGGGTCAAGAGTGGATGGAGAAATTGTGGAAGGCTTCTCAAAAGCACAGGCAGAAGACAAAGACAGCTAGCCTGGGAGCAGCAGCAGAGAAGGTGCTGGACCTGAGAGGTCTGTAGCTGACATAATGGGAAACACTAGAAGTAGGAAGTGGCTGGAGAACATCTAGGATGACTTGTAACTGTCTGGCTTAGAAGTGGATAGGACACTGGAAGATGCGCTGGTGAGCTTGGAGGCACAATTAGTTCAGAGTGGGGATGACTGAGCTTAAGGTGGCCTGGGACATCCAAGTGGAGATGCCTGGTGGGCGGTCACATCTGTGGTGGATCCGCATACACAATTACAGAAGTTGCAAATGTAAAAGACATACTCCATACTGTCCCAATGCATGAAGTTGGTCCACATGTGACTGACATGAAAGGATGTCTGAGATTCACCAGCATATAACCTTTAAAAAGCAAGTTATAGGAAATGCATATGCTATAATTACTTTTTTAAATATGTTGAAAAAATACTTAATATATTTGCAAGAGAGATGCCCTTGTGCAGGCATGCATGTACACACACACACACAAAGTCTGGAAAGAATATACCAAACTATTAACCCAACGCTATGATTCTATCAAATTTGGATTGGCATAAAGGAGTGAAGTGGTCTCATCTTTTCACTTATAAACTTCTACATTATTTGGTCTCGTTTCTCACAGTGAATACCTAATCTCCGCATCTTCCGCTTCATTCCATCTCCTTCTGCATCCTCAGCTTCTGCTAATTCCTGACTCCCCACCCAGAAGCAGAAGTTGGCAAGAGGATGAGTCGGAAAGAGGAAAGGTGAGGTGAATTGTGCACATTATTTGATAATGAAATCAGAGTAACTTATCCACTTTCCAGCTGCATTGAAAAAACAGCTGTATCAAATGTTTGCTGGAAAAACACCCTTCTTGCTCCTGAAGGGTCTGTAGTTGATGGGGCTGAGCAGTAAGTCAACCAAGATGTTCTCCAGACCCTGAAAGTCTGTGGCCAGGCACACTGGCCACTGCTGTCTCTTCAGTGCCATTCAACATGCTCAAGAGGATTTCAGAGTCTCATATAACATCCCAGAATACAACATATGAAGCTCGGAATGCTAATGACATGCCCCACTGTGGAAAACAGGGTGCCAGGAACTCAGGCTAATGAACGTACAATGACAGAGAAATTAACATAAACAGAAGGATTAGGTAGCTTTATATGACCTGAGTATTTTACCCTATATTTTCCTTAAATTACTTGACATAATCACCCAAAACAGTGCCAAATTGGTTTTGAAATATCCGGGTCTCTATTTGACAAAGAATATTATTTTCCCAGAACAAAACTAGTGGAAGGCTACAATAGAAGCATTGTGGCATCAGAAAGCAAACCAGAGGGCATGATCATCCTCATGTGAACTTCCCTCTCCTTCCCTGACTATAGACACAAACTGATGAATCAAGTAGATCTTGCAGGCAGGCACCTGTCACAGATGGTGACAGTACTGCTTAAGCATCCTTAATTAAGAAGCAAATACTCTACAGAGAAAGAGACACTTCTAACTACACAAAACGTACCAGGAAGGCAAAGGCAAGTGAAATTGTTCCCCTCCTGCTTTTCATTTGCATCGATACAGCTAGCTTCATTCTTGCAGGGTTTCCTGTGGCAGGCATCAAATTCTTCACAGAAAGTACCCATGTACTGGTCCTCACAGGTGCAGGAGAAAGTTGCCTGAAACACAAAAATACAGTGCTTTTACCTGGGTCTCCTGACATGCGTGTTCTGGCTGTAAAACTTGAAGTTCGAAAGCACCACCTCTTTCTTATAAAGGGACCGATACTGAGTACTTATCTCACTTATGTCACAATCTGGTTAAAAATCATAACTCTAGGAGAAACAGTACGCTTTTCTTTGCAGTTTAATTTCGGACATTTATTTTTACAGTTCTTTATTCGTACTTAGCCCAACCATTTTCAAACTTCTCAAAATAGAAATGGGAAGAACAACTTGTTTTAGGCTTAAAATGAAGCTTTGCTGACATGACATGGAAAGGTAATTTTCTAGAGCAGATAACACTGTTGCTACAGCCATTAAATTTGATGTCACTCCAACCGAATAAAATCCTCAGCACAGATAACACTTGCAAAAAACTCACCAAACATCCTACCGAGTCACTACAAATTGGACTCAATGTACAGTCATAATAGGATTCCTGGTTGCATGGGAAAATAACACAGTTCAAGCAACCATTTTGCTTGGTTTATTACAGCATTATTATCTTAGTAAAATACCATAATTCAAACATCAAGCACAGAGAATTTTATTTGAGGTTTCATTTCTGAGATAGTGACAAAAATACAAACAGAATTGGGTCTTCCTGCTCCTTTCTTAGGGCCAACCTGAGGATAATGACAGGTCTGAAAAAAAAAACAAAAAACACAAAATCTGTCTCCAAGCTCATGTGTAGTGAGTGATGTGGATCATTCTTTCCATGAAGAAGAAAGGAGGAGAGGCAAGTACTACTCAGCCATAAAGAATGAGAAATAAGAGACATTTATAGCTAAATGGATGCACAGTGAGGCCAATTCTTCAGTGAAATTAATAGCACAGATATGTAAATACTAAATAGTTTCACGTGTGACAAACTGAAAGTGTAAATAAGGATCAAAAGGCATAATAGATAATGTGAAATAGTAAGAAAATGTCCAAAGGGGAAGGGGAAAGGAAAGAAAGGAATGGAATTAGTATGAGAAAATGAAAAAATGGAAACAAAGTCTTTGTACATGGGGAGGGGTGGAGGGGGTGAAGGGAGGACAGGGGGATGGGGAAAAAATAAGAACCAAGATGGATTATGTAAAGGTGCAAATTTCCAATGATAAACGTCATTATACTGTATACCTAAAATGTACCAATAAACTTAATTTTTAAAAAAAGAGCATTAGCAAACCTGCTACTCAAACAATCTAAACAAACAAAAGCACAGCTCTCAGCTCCCTCCCAGCCCAGCCCTACACACTGGCTGCTGTCCAGTATGTACTATTCCATGTTTCCACTTTTCCAGGGCACTGTCCCCACCTTCCCTGCCTCTCCCAGGCCCCAGCCCTCTGGCCCTGATCTCAGACACAGACTCCTGCCTCTCTTAGGGTCCATCAGCACTCCACACCTGCCTTCCTCCTGACTGAGGGACAGGTTCTCCCTTGTTCTCTTTAATATGCTCTGTCTCTCAATCAAGTTTACAGTTCTGTTACATTTCTTGATAGATTTATTCTTGCACATTTTGAGGGGCTACTGATATTTTGTTTGCCCCATTCTTGTAATACCCATCCTAGTTGCTAGTGATTCTTACTGGCAAATAAAAAGCCGGGGCTTTGTTACCGGTCATTACACTAATGTTTCCATTAGAGCTCAGAATTTTAGTTGATCCTTGGGGTTTCTAGATAACACCAAATGGCGGGTAACCAACTGCAGATAATGGTAACATTACCGCCTCCTCTCCAGTCCCTGGGGTTACTGGCAGCTGTTCCAGGCTGATTTTGACCAGGAAGTGATGTTTGTAAAATTTATCACTAAGCAGAATTCTATCATGATTGCTGAATTTTATCAAATACCACCTTAGGTACTACAGAAATGATGTACGGCCTTCATCTTTGACCCATCATTATACGAACTGAATGTCTAGGTTTCTTAGTATTGATTTAATCCACTATTCCTGGAAGAAATACCAACTTAGGTAATTAGGGAAAACGGTTTGAATATGACTGGATCCCATGTGGAGTTTTACGTCTGCCACTCCTCTCTCCATTCCTCTTCTCCTTCTAAGAAAAACTGAACCTGCACAGGAGATCATGTTTTACATCATAAAAGGAAGCCCCTCACATGTGACTGAATGAGTGAAAGAACAGCTGATGGGATCTGAGACGACCAACGAAGAGGCCAAACAGTAACACACGACGTTTACCTTGACCAAATACCCAGGTTTTGTGTATTTGCTGCTGTTGTTTTGTTGGCCGAATGTGCTGCTGAGGGAATGCGGCAGGGTCCCTTTTCAGCTGTGTAATCCAGTCTCCCTGAGTTGAAGAACACAGTCTTCAATTCCATCTTAGAAACTTGAACAACTGGGATTTAAGGAATAGCTCTGCTTCTTACACTAAGAGCTGCATTTTCTGCTATTTCCAACTTCTCTGAGTTCTTTGTAGGAAATGGGAATTCCTCCTGCATTTTAGCAATAGGTTGATGCCACATCTGGTCTTTCATAATGTGAAATGGTTCTTTCTCATGCGTTTGCACTGCCTTGGTAACTGGAAACTGGGTGAAGCTACAACAAGGTGTGTGAGAAATGTCTCCCTTAGACAGGAAGCTCCTTTTTTCTAGAACTATCTCCTAAGGAAAATCCTGTCCTTGTTCACACAAGAGTCCGTGTTTGGTTTTGATATTTGCAGGAGTTGTCCCTGGCCCTTTTGTGCATCCAGAGATTTCTGACTGCCTCTGAAATGCAAATACTGAATGCACCCAGTGTGCACAATTCCAAAGTGGGCCTCTGTGTCATTAGATTTCTGCGTGTCATTGGTTTTGGCAGCTGCCTCCCACAATTTACGATTTGTATCCAGACATTCCATGCCGCAGATAAATTTCCTTGGTTATTTGAGAGATACATCTTGTATATAATTCATCTTGTGAGTGCCATGGAAAATATGTTGCATGTGGAAATAAATTATTAAAATCCCCCAATCAAATACTCTCTGGTTAGCTTTGACTGAGTCTGAAGCTAAAACAAAAGCCACACGTTTTGTTTCACTTTACTTTAGCAGGGACTTTGGAAGGAAGCTTTAAGAAACTACTGAAATAATTGCTTCTGACAAGGCAGAGCACAAATCAGTTTTTAAGTTTCAGTCGATGTATGCAAAAGGAGACTAACATATATTGACATATTCACAACCATAAAGCTTGGGTTAAATCGTTGAGTGTTCTCTATTACCTCAGCCATAAAGTGGTATTCTTCCTTAAGTTCATTCTGTTAAAAAAAAAAATGCTTTCCAATAATATTAAAAGGGTGTGGGCTGGGGATTTAGCTCAGTGGTTCCATTGCCTGCCTCAAAAGCGCAAGGTCCTGAGTTCGATCCCCAGTACCAAAAAAAACAAACAAACAAACAAATAAAATGGTGTGTTTGATAGTTTCAGGACAATCAACTTTGAAGAGCACATGAGTGTTTATTAGAGGAAGTTATGTTTATTGATGCACATTTTTGTGGAAAACTTGGATCACCGAAAGCTGTGAACTGCTAACTTTCCTTTGACAAATTTAATCAACTACGATATTGCTAATCAAGGTCCAATTAACTCCACTAATATAGAGGACAAACTAAACTTCCTCAAAATTAATTTAGCTAAAATACAGAAAGATACTTCCCTGCAAAAGGATTGTATATGTACATGCAAAAGTCTTTTGCAACTAAAATTAAAAGTAACCTTCACAGATTAATTCTGAAACCCAACACAGAATCTCAATTTTCCACAACAGTTTGAAGTCAAATATTCCATCTTTTAAATTATGGCACTTTCTCAGACAGAGGTAGGAAGCCTACTTAAAAACTTTCAGGGTTCAAATCTTTCATGGGCCAGGGATTTATCTTGGTGGTTCCACCAGCTGTCTCACAAGCTTAAGGTCCTGAGTTTGATCCCCGGGACCAAATAATAGCAACCATCCTCGTCGTCATCGTCATTTTTGGAAGCACTCCTTTGCTTACCTGTTCAATATATTGAATATTTACTGAGCACCTGCTACAGAATCATAAACGCGAACGTGACTCTGGTGAAGATTATACGACTGACCATGAGCAAAACAACCAAATAAATGGCATAGTGCACGAGGTAGTGAGGCCATGGGAAACAGAGACAGGGAACAGAAGTGGGAGGGGCACGATCTTAAGTAGGGCGCCTGACTATGGCGGTAACTTGGCACAGGTGAGAAGATGAGGAAGTGTGCACGGCGGGCCTGCTGAGGGAGGGAAGACATGGGCGGTAATGGGAACAGCCAGTGCCCAGGTTCAGCGGAGTGAAAGAAAGGAACAAATGCCAGAGGAAAAAAAAAGACAAAGGATCAGCTGTGAGGTCCTGGGGGTGCAGCAATTCTCAATGGGAGGGCCACTGTGTCCCCACAGAACACATCGGGCAAGGTCTGGAGATACTTTTGCTTGCACAAGACAGAGCCCACGGCAAGGAAAGACACAGGACTGAAGGTCGATCGTGCTGAGGTTAGAAACCCTGGTGCAGGGCCTCACAGGTTACTGAATGGACTCTGGCTCTGTAAACTTAGGGAAAGATATGTTAGTTGCCAAGAGACCAAAAATGCACTGTGCACAGTAAAAGTGCTTTACAATATATTATCTTGTTTCGTCGCTACTTTTATTTTGTTTTGATAAGATCCCAATCCTGACAGTAAATGATTCCACAGGCATCTCAAAGCAAAAACTAGAGGGCCACTTATCCAGGGGAAGTTTAGTGTAGCTCACCATGACGTGATGTCAATTCCATCGTCTGGGATGATTTTCTAAGTAGGAGAGGTATCCTTACTCCACGGTATAGAATAACCGGCTATTACCAGACTATTTAACCTGAACTGGATATTGTCCGAGATTTATTCTTTAAAACCATTCATTCAGGACACACGTTTTGTATGCCTCCGTGTGAGGAGCAACACTGTGGCCCCCAGAGATCTGGTGAAGGGCACGGTG